GATGAATAAACAGTGAGGGGTATGAATACACTAGATACACACAGCAGCCTGTGAGCAGAATTAACAGTGTGTATGAATACACTAGATATACACAGCAGCCTGTGAGCAGTATTAACAGTGTGTATGAATATGCTAAGATATATAAAGTATGAAAACGGTAAGCAGTGCAAGTATAATATAAAACAGGGGTACTCAAATACAAATCTTAAAGGTCCAAAGAAATGTTTTAATAAGACAAAGGTCCGTTTATTACGGTCATTCAAACCTTTAAACAATTGCAACAAGATTCTTAACACAGGGTTGCAATAAGAAAAATAATCTGTATGCAGCAGTTTTCATTGTTATTGTGTCTGTGCTTGATCCCTCAGAGTCGCAGTGTGAGCAGTTATGAATAAAGGCAGCCGCACATTCTTTCATTCAGCATTCCCATTGTTGCTTTATAAATGTCTTCCCCCTTGTGTATCCACTGAGGTTCGTCAGGCCCAACACATCTTCAACAAACTCCCCCTTTGCCTCATCATAAAAACTCACAAACACCAGCAACTGAGCATTGTCAGTGGTGTCAGTGGACTCATCCACAGCTAAGGAAATGCACTGTGCATTTTGCATTCCATCACAAAGCTGATTAATCAAATCACCAGCCAGTATTTATGTTCTTCTGGTTGCTGTGGAATCTGAGAGGGGGATTTGCTTGAACTGTTATTTCCTCTTTTTGTTTGCCTTCAAACATGGTCTCTACTCTCCATCACTTCAGTCATGCATTCTTTTATACTTCAGTTATTATCCAGTGGAAAGCCCTTACCTACTGGCCTAGTTCAATCAAAGTGGGTACTTTTTTTTGGCTGGGCAGTGTAGTTTTACACACCGTCTTATTTGACTTTCTCAGGACCTAAAACAGTTTTTTGGGGGCAGACCCCCACAAAGAAAAACATATATTTACACACGTACGGTCATCATCTTAACAGTTTTGTATGCTCATCCGTGAGCAGAGCATCAAGTTGACATGTCTATTACAGCTGAATGCGACGATTACCATCTTGTTCAGCAAAAGGCCTCACAAACTGATTAAGATCAACAGCTTTAGTGCGTTTTGATTCAATGCTGAGTACAGCCAACCTGACAGTCTCTTCTCTGTCATTGTAGACCGCAAATACTTCATTCCTTCAGTACTCGGGTCCGAATGCTTCTCGTTTTGCGCCGTCCCGTTCAAATGAAATCGCCGCTAATCATATTTCAACGCTCGCGCCATTGTTTAGGAGGGGTTACAAGACGTACGTCTAGTGCTGCATTCACTTGCACTCGGACATTAGAGACGTTCTCTCATAAATGTCCGATTAGCCACAACTTTTTTTTTCAAAACAAAGATGCCAACTGGGGTGGCAGCTGGGGTGGCAAGGCTATTTTTTAGGGTGGCAGTTGCCACCCCATGCCACCCCGGTAGATCCGCTCCTGGTAATGTCTAAAGGTGTTGTTTCAAAATGTCAAGCGCAGTTCATTCAGAAGCAATCACCTATGTAATAGGAAGTCACTGTAGCATTGCCAACTTCAAAATAACTTACAATAACAAAACAACAGTTGTTTGGGGCCAAGCCAAATATGAAACCAGGAGGTTTTTTTCCACTACAGGATCAATGATAAAATCCACCAAATCATTAAGGTAGAGGGTAACAGCCCCCAAGGCTAGGGCTGTGGTCCAGTTTCCTGCACTTACGGCAGCATTTTTTTTATGACTAATCCTTAAAAAGATAATTTGTAAGAAACATCTGCTTTAATATTCCACCTCAATAACGCTTACCCAGACTCACATCTCTCCCTTTAGCTGGCTTATTGATTGTAAAAGTGCTCACAAAAGACAGGACTGGTTCAATTTAAAATACTGCCTAGTGTTTCTGAGAAATATTTTTCTAAAAAATGTCTTGAAAATAAGTACAGGGTCCATCAATTAATGTGCATGTGTGGACCATTTAGGCAAGAGAATAAATATAATTTCTAGGAAATAGGAAAGAAGTTTCACAAGATAAAGAGATAAAAGTAGCTGAAGATTAAACTAACTCTGGTTTCTTTCCTTTGCTTAATTATTCAGGTAAAACGGGTCAGTTCTTGCGGCTGATCATCTGCACTAGTTTGACCCTCCTGACCCTGCAGTGCTTCATGCAGATCCCCTTCGCCTACATCCCCCCGCAAGGTAAAAAAAACTCGGGAAACTTCACAGATTACATTTTCAAAAATCCTGTGAGTGGACTTCAAGTATATTAGGTTGAAAAAAGAACAAGGAGATTAATAAACTGAAACTTTCCCCCTTGTTATGTAAGAATCTCAACATTAAGGAACAAGAAAACTAGTTGAAAATAATGATGACCATTTTTTTTTTTACAGTTAGTGGCCACTGGGAAGATGTCCTCTACCATTTGGGCATTATAAGGTATGGAAACACACTTGACCTTCATATTTTCAGTGATCATATCATTGTTTATGCAGTTTTAACTATGCAGAAGACTTTGAATAACATTTACTTGACATTACTTCAAAGCATTTTAGAATGCATTCATATGTTCCAAATAAGTATCTTTTGCAACATTGAAAAAAGTCTCTTAAAATGTGCAATCATATCTCCATTCAAACCATTCTGTTGAATGGAGATTTATGAAGAAACCTATGATAATGCTTGTGTGTTTTCAGATTCAGCTCGGTGGATGCTGGGAACATTGTGCGTCTCTTGGCCCCGGACCTGGGCCTCCTCTTCTCTTCCCTCTTCATATTGAGGCTGTGCAGAAAACTTCTACGCTCTTTGCCCCAAGTTAGTCTGCATGAGAACGGAATACCGCCTTCAAACCCTGAGGTAATCGTTCAAACTCATCGATTGTTGTAACTCCACAATGCGTTAGAAAGCACATCGATATAAATCTGATTGTTTCGTGGGTCTGGCAGGAAGTGGAAACCTCTGAATCAGAGTCTGAGGATGGAAGTGACACGGAGGGCTCGTCCTTCGACAGCTCAGATGAGACTACGGTGCCGGTTCAGACGGGCCCGCCCCAGTTTGTCCAGAAGCTGATAGTGTTTGCAGCCGCACTGAGGCTGCTGCTGTCAGCGATCATGAACACGGCGGGGAAAGTGGTGGTGACTTTACTTCTCGGACTGGCAGGTACATTACAGTAGCTTGTGTGAGCATGCAGGAGTATGGTAGTATTCAGGGGAGACACTACAGCTGAATCAGGTTAATACTTTAACTAATAGATATTACCAAGAAACTTACTCACTTGATTACTTACATGAAGAAATCATTTTATTTGTATTTATTTATTTGAATAAAACATTGCTGATATTTTTTAAATATTCATGAGGTATAATCTTACTAAGTAACTACGAATTTGCAAAAACTGAAATACTGGTGTTGGATAAAGCCAGGGTAATTTTTTTATTTTGTTGACATATTAGAGTGAAAGGTTTATGCAGAGGGAATGTTGGATATATCTTTGTATCACTCCATTAATAAGGAAATATAGACTCCGATAATGAAAAAATGCTGTTGCCTGAAGTGTCTTAGGATGTTTTGTCTATTTTTGTTGTTTTACTTGGCTTGACATACTGTGTGTGTGTGTGTGTGTGTGTGTGTGTGTGTGTGTGTGTGTGTGTGTGTGTGTGTGTGTGTGTGTGTGTGTGTGTGTGTGTGTGTGTGTTTGTGTAGGTATCATGCTACCATCCCTCACCTCAGGGATGTATTTCGGAGCGTTTCTGGGGCTGGTGTGGTGGTGGGTGTTCAGCCGCTCCATCAGCATGCTGCTCTTCAGCTCTCTGTGTGTGATGTTGGCCATCTTCAGCGGAGGACACCTGCTGGCTCTCTACCTCTACCAGTTGCCTCTGTCGCAGCAGCTGATCCCCCCGGACGACGTCTATGCCAGGTACAGTAGGGATAAAAGAGTGGGACTAAACTGATGTATATTGGACTGCTTTTATTATTAAATAAATAAACTATAAACTAATAAATAAACCAAATATGCTTCAAGGTTTTCTGGGAATTAGTCAGGTAAATATTTCAATGGAAGGTGTATCTACATCAGAATCAGGTCATCTGTTTATCAATTTTGACAATACACCCGCACCTGTTAATATATCATGGACTTCATTGATGCTTTTTTTGTTCTTTTTTTTGCTTATGTGATATTTTATTGCGTGGGGAGATGAGAAAAAAGCAAATATTGTTGCCAGGCAAAAATTATTCAGATATAGACCTTTATTTAATGGCTTTATTTAAATTGTCCTTTACCTTCTTCCTGGTTGGTTTACCTCCAGGTTAGCATTCTCCTTAAAGTTTGACTACAATATATTTGTATAACCACAAAGTATTTCTCCCTCTATCTCTCTTTCTCTATCCTGCAATCGTCCCACTCTTCCTGTGGCAGGTTGTTTGGTATGACAGGAGTGATCCGAACCAACAGTTCTGACCCGCACATGCTCGGTCTGCACCCACATGTCAGCTGGCCAGACTTTATCAACCCTTTGGTTCTGCTGCTGCTCTACTACACTCTGGTGGCTCTGCTGCACAAATGGGTCCACATCACAGAGGAGGTTTGTACAAGTGGTATTTGCGGGAATTATGTTTTGTTATATTGTGTGTGAGTGTGACGTTGGTGTTCCTGAGGCACTTGTTTGTTTCAGACTCTGGTTTAAGTGGGAAAACGTAAAAAAAAAGGCAGAAATCTACTCCTGTGAATTATCTCTTTAACCAAACACACATTGTACACATTGTACACACATTAAAGCTATTCTATCATCCATTTATCAAGCATCCCTGGGAACTGTTTGGCCCACCTCCAACTTTGAAAGGCTAATGCTGGAGGGTTGACAATACAGAATACTACTACTCCTACTATTGCCACGGCTACTACTGGAAATGTTACAAAAGTTCTGTTTAGCGTTAAACATACAGGCACATACAAGCACTGAGACAAATTTACCTCACGTGACAGGCTTATCAAATAGAGCTGTGTTTCTCAGGATGTTGTGGATGATGAGGAGTATGAAAGTCCAGCAGGAAGTCCAGAGGATCCTCCCAGCTTCTCCCGGGTCATCTACATCACAGGAGATAAGCAGGAGGTAACCCACAAAAATTGATGTGTTTTATTATTTCAGTGATCAGTATTCTACTGTTGTCCACATTTTTAGGTGTTCTGGATAGTATCAGCTACACATTGGGACAGAAGTCATAGTTTTACTACTATTTCACTTCGTGCTGAAACACAAGTCAGAATTTCAAAATTGCCATTATACAATAAATATAAAATCACTCTAAGATTTTCTGAATTTTCAGCTTTTGAGTAGCACGGATGAGGAAACCTATCTTCCTGATGAGGTTAGTCATTTTATTTGTAACCCTAGAGTTCAAGGTTTATCGTGTTTTTGACTGATTATAAGGTGGGCCATGTGAATATTGGACTAAATGTACGGTATGATGTGCTCTCTTTCTGCAGCCAATTATTTTAATACCAGGGAGTTCCTGGCAAGATGTCCATAGAAATGATCTGTGCTCTCTGTTAGACGTGGCAGGGTACACAAACTGTTACCCTCCACCACAGTATGAAGGCAAAGGCTCCCCGTCACATGGTAATCATCACACTTAAATCTCATAAAAACCTTATCAATATATGTATTAGTCTGCTTAATCTGTTTACTAATCTTTTTATTTCTTTACTTCTACCTCTCTTGTGCCAGAGACAGAAGGAGAGGGAGAAATGGAGGAGAAGTCTGAAATGGACTTGAAAACCCAAACAGAGACCTTGCCTCCCCCCTCAGGCCCAAGTGGTCTGGTCATCTTTGGACGCCTGGTGCAAAAACACAGCTATGTCAGCGCACTCATTATCATGATGGTAAACCACCTTATCTAAAAAAGGCAATATTTTTCTAGAATAGGTTGGCTCAGTGACGTGGAGATAACATAAAATAAAGAGGATTCATATGTTAGAGTAGTAAAAGGGATTGACCAAAGAAGTTGGTACAGATAAGTATAACATGTTGTAAAATCTATTACAAAAGACCCCTGCAACTTAAATGTGTAGTACATTTGATTTTCTTTACACTATTGATTGATTCCACAATTATTTTTAAATTAAATGATTGTAGTGAAAGAACATTTCCCAAAGCCAAAGTTAATTTCTTCAAATGTTTTGTTTTCCAAAATCCCAAAAAAAGGTAAAATGTATTATCATATAGAAAAATTCCTTAAACAATTAAGGTATTATATAATAGTTGGTTATTCATTTTCTTTGAGTGAAAGATTTACCTTTTGAGTGAGTAAAGATTAGCTTGCTTAGTACCTTATTGGGCTAATTAAGTTAGCACACCATGATAGCATTAGCTGTGATAGCTAGCATTAATTCAAAGGATTTAAAACAATATAACTGATATTGTCATGTTGTTTGCTTACCATCTTGCTTTTTCGAGACAAAAACCGACGAATACATTTAAAAACAGCGCAAATATGGTCTTTAACGTTAGAATGATATGTTTAGCAAGAAAGGTCAAATTAGCTTAGTAGCTAGCTAAAGTTAGCTGCAGTTAACTGCCACCTGAACAAGCTAACATAAAATATAAGAAAGGCACATATATATTTGAAAAGCTTTTTCAATGGTACAATGTCACATTATCAAACATGTGTATGTTTAGGTGTGGAGTATCACCTACAACAGCTGGCTGACCTTCGCCCTGCTGGTGTGGTCCTGTATTATCTGGATGATGCGGGACCGCCGGCGCTACGCCATGCTGTCGGCGCCCTTCCTGGCGGTGTACGGCACCGCGCTACTGCTTCTGGGCTTCCTCAGCGGCCTGCGGCTCGACCGGGCCGAGCTGTACCCCGGCCTGCCGAAGGCCGTCATCACCGACTTCGACCTGAACAGCTACCATCCTGCGCCCTGTGTCCACCTGGGAGCAAAGGTACAACAAAATACCATTAACTTAATTGAAAACGTTATGAGATCATGGAGATATTTATAACGAAAGCTTTCTCGTGCTTTTTTTTTTTAAGAACTTAAGTTGTTGTTTTAACAAATAGGTTAAATTTCGAGCAAAGGTATACTTTTTTGTTTCTGTTGTATCCTTCTTTAAACTTGTAATTCATTACATTTTGTCAATCAATATTGTACGTTTTATATGGTAGAAGAAGGTTACTCAGATATGTACATTCAGTACAGTGTAAAAATAATCTGTCACAAGGAAGTCCTGCTTTCAAACTCTTAGTTAAAGTACAAAAGTATTAACAAAATATACTTAAGTATCAATATTAAAAGTACTTATTATGCTAAATGGCCTGTTTCACAATAATATTATGCTAGTTGATTGTGATTTTTATAGGATTCATGTGTTCATCAATTTCAACATCATTTTTTGTACTGCTGCATAGCTTAATCTAGAATAATATATCATCATTTGGTATCTGATACATCTCTAAAAAAATGTTTCTTAAAAATAAGATTGGTTCTTGGAATAATGCTGCCATGTCTTCCCAAGAACACTGAGGATACAGAAAAAAACGAAATCTCCCATGTGGAGTTAACCAGCATGGTTTCATCTTATTGCTTATAGGAAGCGGTTTGAGAAAATTGGTAACTCAGGATCATTAAAGAAGATGACACATGAAGGCATAATTTTATCTTCTTAGCATCTATGCAAATCGATCAGCCCTTAACACGTCCGACACATTTTCCACCTGTTAATGTAGTTCAACCTGAGTTCAACCTAATCTGTCTTTGTCATCAAGCTTTTTTTTTTAAATCACCAAGCAGAGTCTTAGATTTATATCTGTAACCCATTTCTTGATAGTAAAACAACAACTGTTTATAACATAACTATGTTTACAAAAGCAAATTGTAAAACTGTGTGTTTTGTACTCATGATACACTTTTGGTGCCGCAGGTCTTCTACAGTTTCAGCTTCTGGTTGATGTTTCGTCAGCAGCTAAAGGAGAGACAGGAGGAGCAGAGCTTAAAGGCCGAATCTCTTGATGAAGTCGTGTCAGGTAATATATTTTTGAACTGCTTTGATTACCGGCTTGAATTTTAGAAAATAATATTTCATTTGGAGTCTTCAGTCTCTTGAAATGTTTGAGACTGAATTCAATTTGACTCAAATAAAAAAATGTCTCACTTTTTCTCATTCTCTTCCTGTTGGTTAATTATTTCCTGTCCCTGCTCATCCTTCTTTTCTTTTTATCAGAGGAGGAAACTCCGCCATCACCTCTGGCAGCGATGCTGATCTCAGGAGTGAAAGGGACGCTGGTGAAATACTGGATCCTCTTCTGCTGCTCCATGTTCTTTGTGATCAGCTTCTCTGGAAAGGTATTTACTGACACTCTTAAACCCTGAGAATGCAGGACGTCCTCTCTTTTATTGTATTTAAATGCACCTAATTATGACCCTGTTTCACTTGCTTAGGTGGTTGTCTACAAGATCCTCTACATTGTCCTCTTCCTCTTCTGTGTTGTCCTCTACCATGTAAGTGATTTCAGTCATTTGGCTGCTAATACACAGCCAACATTTAATCTGTCTGTCTTTTGTAATGAAGTAAAGTGACTTTAGTCATCAAGATATTGCATCGAAGCTATAACTCATAGAACATCTCGTATAGCAATGACCTGTTTGCTTGACCTTCGTGTGTAAATGCATTTATTCTCGGACTAAAAGGGGGTGTAAATTTGATATTGAGACGGCAGGCCTTAATAAATGGAGAGGAAATCTGCTTTTATAGCCGAGTCATTGTTGCGTAACACACAAAGCTACTATAATTTCAGGGTCAGTTTACACTGTAATGTGTTGGATCCTGAATTATCATCAGTGAACCATTCAGCTGTTGTTTGTGCATGAAAACACTTGCCCTTATATAAACTCTGTGCCGCTCATGGATGCTATTTTACAGTTAAAAGTATTGATTATGACTTATAAACACGTACACAGTCTTTTTTGCTTCTATTTTACAGTTTTTTTCCTCCCCCATCTTATGTTTCTGCTGACCTTTTAAAATCACGTCGGCACTTACAGGAAGGCCTAATGGCTGTTGAGGCGACGTAAGACATAACAACATCATGTATCTGTTCGGACAACATCAGCAACACCTTGGTGTTTTAAATACTGCAGAGTGGGATGAAAGGGATATAGGAAACACTGTTATTATGTTGATGTTTAGGAGACGGAAACATTTAGCTTGAGTTCTGATTGAGTAACTTTGGTTGTTGTTGAATACGAAAAGGAGAACTAAATTACAATGACTGTAGCAGTAAGCTGTAGTTCAATAATGAGGTTAAAGGGACAGTTCAAAACTACATTTTTATTATCTTACCTTCAGTGCTATTTATCAATCTAGATTGTGTTAATGTAAGTTGCAGAGATAGATGGAGATTTTGTTTGTAGAGATGTCTGTCTTTTCTCCAATATAATGGAAAAAAACATTAAAAGAATGTAACAGCAATGAGTCTTTTCAGAAATCCTCACCCAGTTACTCAAGATGTTGAGGACAGTTTCATTTAGGAAATATTTTATTTCTACAAAACTGCATTTGCCAACAATATAGTAATAGAAGTAGTGGAACCGACTGCAACTAACAAAAATGAGCCAGATGATAAAAAGCACTAGTGATACAAATATTTGTTACCACAAGTTCTTAAGGAAACTGACACTGTTGGACTCGGTTCTAGTTTGACTTCTACCAGAAATAAAATGAAGTACTTCTACTGTGTACTTTGTGAGTAATCCTCTGTCATAGTCCCCTCCATAATGCATGTTTTTCTGCTATCTTTGATGAATGATACAAATATAATTTTACCATTACTTCTTAATGAAATTGATACTGTTTGACTTTGTATTAGCCTACTACTTACAATACATTGAAGTACTTTTACTGTGTATTTTTTGAGAAATACTCTGTCAAAGTCCCCTGCTGAGAACAAAATCAAGCCACTTCTGCTAAGTTTGATGAGGGAATGCTTTTTTGTTGTCATTAGTTCTTCGTGAGATTGATCCTGTTGGACTCAGTACTAGTGAAACTACCCCCACAAGTACTATGAAGTACTTAGGCCTACTGTGTACTTTTCCAGTAGTCCTCTGTCAATGTCCCCTCCTGAGAACAAGAATGTTTTTCTTTTAATAAGCGTTAAAACACCTTTCTTCCTGAGACTGATATTGCTGAGTATTTTAAGAGGATGGTATATGATATCAGCAATACTTCCAGTCAGTACTCCAGCAGCAGCATTTTTACCCCTTGGAAAGTCTATAGAGACTGGCCTGGATAGCTGGTCCCAACTCCTTC